ATCTAAGATTTACTGATTCGAGACGAAGGGCCGAATGGGCAGTCACATGGAGACTGTAATTGACAATCCCTCCGCATGAACCAGAGAGGTTCACTACTTACCGCTGAATGGCGCCGGATTGTACGCCCAGATGCGACATTCTCGGCACTACGAACGGAAGACTTCCGCTTCAGCCGTATCAACTGGTGATCACAAGCTGTTGTAAGCGATTCTTGGTGTTTCGCACAATGAGGTTTGCTGCGGAAAAATTACAACGCGGGACATTGGTCCACATTGCAACAACAACAACAGTTGAATTAAGATTGAAAGGTTATTTCTAAAAAATGAGGGCCTATTGAAATGACAATAAAACTAGTCTACATATTCAATAGGTTTTTTTAAAAACTTAGTGCATGATTTTTCCTCATTTTAATTAGTCAAGCGGACTAACATGCTCCCTCCTCTAAAACAAAAAAAGGGTTCGTGAAAAAATTTGCAGCTCACAGATGTACCTAGTAGACAGTTCGTAAGTGTCTACATGGATTTTGAAAATGGTCAAACCGACAACAGCTAAAGTGGCCATTTAAAAATTAATGGAAACCTGATGGAGACAAAATTGCCAAGAAAACCACTGAGAGAAAATCCTTAGAAAAATACCTTTTTTGAAGCACTGATTTAGTACGAGGCCTGTTATTTTTATTGGAGAGTTTATGCGAGGGAAGAGGGTTCCAGCGGTAACCTGCCACGCTTTCGCGAGTCTTGGTCACTTCTGAAGTTTCCACTGAAATAGAGTTGCTCGTGGTTTTAACCCCAGATATTTTTTTCGAGTCTTTTAATTGAGCCTGGAAAAATTAAATTACAAAAGGTAGAAGACAACTTTCAGATGGTTGAAGATTAAGTGTCAACACGAACCACAAGATATTTTGCAAGACACGCACGCACATTTAACTTTGCGAAGGCAACTATAATCGCTTTCTCTTCCTCCAACAAGGCCGCGTTATCTAGAACAAAACGGCAAGTGAAGACAATATAAAAAGATAATAAACATCAAGGGATAAGAGGCACAAAAAGTTGAAAATTTTCCCACTAGAAAATTTATCCAATGCGCAGTGCATTTTGACAAAAGTAACGGATCCAAATTTTAACATATATGTGAAGCTAATCCCTGGAGAAGCTATTAAAAAAGTTTACTGATCATTTGCTTTGAAAGAGGCACGGAATCATTGGCGTTAAGTAGCGTGTGAAGTGATTGATAATTAGGATAAAGACAGTGACTCAAACAACACAAACGTGATATTTACTTTTAATTCAACTGATCGAAAAATGTGCTCTAGTTTCCGAAAAGAACCTTCGACTAACCCCCTAGTAAAAATTCAAGAAGTACATTTGCTGAGAAATAGCAAAATAATCGCTTTGTTTCTATAAAAAAGGAGACGTTCAAGACCATGCCTTAAAATCAAGATTTAATTAAATTCTACTCAAACATTAGGAATCATAAAATGCTAAAATTGTTTGCCAGCCATACAACTTGGGAGGAAAGATATGCAATTTACTTATTGCGACTTCAAGCCACCGACTTTCCAAAACTTCAGTGAGCTCATTGGCACATAGCAGGGGCGAAAAATAAGAGAACTATAGGATTTATAAATGACCAATGCGTATGGAAATCGAATGAAAGTAACGGCGTTGATCATGAAAGAACATGGACAGAATAGCTGGCGTATAGCGAAATGGATCACGTCGACGACTTTCTCTATACCACAATACCCAAGCTTTAATTAATTCAGAAACAGCTACAATCGCACGTCGAGGATAATCAGTAGAGCACAGCTAAAATAGAAAGCGTCCCGATCTTCCATTCCATCAGGCTACACAAAATATTTCTATGTGACTAACGTAAGACGGTAAACAATTATTCCACCTAATTCTTATTTCCCAACCTGTAAATTTGACTGCGATCACTCAGAATGACCTGTTTTGGTAACGGGCAGCAAACAAAGGCGCACCCCTCATGGCATGGAACTTAACCAAAAATACTAGACTTATCGCGCTATAAATAATGGATTTAAACAAATGCAAGTAGTGAAGTAGTTCTAGTACGATATTGAAATAAAAAGGATATATGTGCTATGAAAAAGTAATAAGACAGCAAATGCAAAAAAATTTGGTGGAGAATTAATACAGATTTATGGTGCACAGATAAATTGCGAAAATTTCTAATTGTGCACTGTTTAAGTCCTGCTTCTTAAAATAGAATTTTTTTTTGAATTTTTAGTTTTTTTCATGTCGTTTAGCAACTGGTTCCTAACTGGTAATAAAATAACCTGATTCGTTTAGTAGCTTTTCTAACGAATCAGGAGTTTTGTAAAAGTGTAATCTAATGCATACATTTCCCAATAGCACACCTATGTTTCCTTAAGAAGTACAGCCCTAACTATCCTATCCTCTGATGTGTTAATTAATGGATTTAAAAATACTGCTGCGCCATGACAGATAATCGTCATGCCATGGGTTGTGTGTCCTCCCGTCGTCTAACCGTGTGGCTTGGATTTATGATTAATGAAGGACTAACTAAGAAAGAGCACAACCTTTCATTCTTTTACTGAGGCGTTAAAATAGATGAGACGGACTAAGATAAAATACTCATAAAAGGTGTGCATTCAATATGCGGATAAAAGGTGTGTGAAGTGTATGTAAACTTTCGAAGGGCGTGTGCATTACAAATAGTTCAGTCTTATATACGCACTAGATTCTGGTCAAATCTGTAAAGGGTAAAATTCTAAGAGAGCCTTTTATCATTTTTAAGTATTGCATGACGTAATAAGTGGCAAATGTGGGGACTCATTTGTTTTCCGGGGCACGAGAGTCAGTCCACTCATTCGTTTCGTGTCTCCGCGGCCAGATAAACGAATTAATTAACGAGAAGAATAATTTGACCATATGAAACAATGTAAAGATAAGTTTATGGCTGTAAACATAGCCCAGATAGTACCTTTTTTCTCAGATACTACACGCCGTTTTTTTCTGTTATATATCTTTTGTAGCTAAGGTAGGGCCTAAACTTACAAAAGTGAAACTTTAGAATATTTTAGCATAAGAATAAAAGAGACAAACACAAGATAGCAGGCTGTACTGACAAACAACAGGTCAGAAGAGTCCGAAAAGTGCCATCCATCTGATCAGACTTCATATAGTGCAAAAATTATGATAGATGACATTGATTCGTTTTTGGCTTTGGTTGGCTGCTGCATTTCTTCACAGGCATATCAAAGCTGTAAGATTTTTTTATAGCGCGCACACTAGACAGTATAAATGCAAAGCAATGCAAAATCGCTTTCACAAATCACGATAGAAAGGCTTTAGAAGAAAAAAAGCAAAAATTGAAGCTTATTAAAACCGAATACTCTATACTTTTGTACAGCTTTTAAAAACCAAATTATTTCGCACTCGTAGTTACTGAAATAAAAACGGAATTTGAAGAATATAAATTTTGCGTAAATTCCCAGAATCAAATAACACAATGCAATAAAATTTTGCAGAAGCATATTGAAACAAATGAATTATTTACTTGGAAATAACTTTAATTTAAGAATCAAGTTAATTTCATGATTGCCTATTCGAACTAGGACATAAAAAGGTGAATTCGAAGAGGCTTTTACTCAATTTACAAATAAACAAATGAAGAAAATAAATGTTTATCCATTTTTCTCTTAACTTATATAAATCAATAACAAATTCTCAGTCTAATAGGGTGTAAAAAAGTAATATTTGGTCAATAGTGATAGGAGTAACCTCCGAGAAATTATTATGCCCATATTTATTCCAACATCACCCAGAGCATCTTGTGGGCACCTTTATAAATCAAAGCAATTATCGATTAAAATTCATAAACTGTAAAAATATAATGCAGGACCAATAGTGGACGTTGAAAAAATTATTATATTTAAGAATCGTTTGAATGCACGAGGCACTATAAATTTTTTATACACTTTACTTGCTCTAAATATGCAATTTAGTCTTTAATTTATGATTTCCTTATAATTATATCCTAAAACGTTACACAGGTAAGTTGTCGGTTTCATATGTATGCTGAATCATGATTCTCAACAAAAAATTGCCTGCATCAATTTACAGTATGTCTGTTCACAAAGCACATAGATGATAAAAAATTAACGCTTCGTCTCTAAATTCTTAGGTTTAAACTATGTTTTCAATGAACATTGACAATTCCTTTATTATTTATCAAATATTTATTTGATTGAATTAGCAAAACCATAGATTTTTCACACACTCCCTATCATCCGCCGGATATATAAATTCACGGATAAAATACCGGCACAATTATCGTGTTCATAAAAAACATGTGATGCTCTATACGCAATGACTAAACACTAATAAGAATGCAATATCAAGTTGATTGAAAAATCAGACAATTATATCTGCAGTAGAAGGCCTATTAGACATCCAAAAGTAAAGATTTTAGAATCTGGAAATTTTGTTTGATTTAAATATCTAACAACACTTTTTCCTTTACAGTAAGGTCCTTGACTTTTCTTCGGCTCCGGTTCCGAAACTGCAGCCATAAAGGAACTCAAACACTGATAGATAATTAGCATTTACATAGCCTTTATTTTAGAATTATAGGATGGAGTAATATGATAATATTAAAAAAAGTAGATTGACGTGTAGTACTAATAACGTGCAAGAAAAGTGTCTAAATCGCGTTAAACGAGTCAAATGACCAAAGTTTGGCAATTTAATTCAATAATGTGCATTTTGCAAAATCCAAATATAAAAAATCCAGCAAAACAAATACTATCAAAAAAACATATAACAAAGCTTTTCAAAAGATAACAAATTTGCCTTAATAATGTTTTAAAAATATACATTGTTAGACCTTTATGCTGACGTTGTAGATTCTAGAGGCCTTTCCATGTATTTTTGCTAGGACGTTTTAATTGTTTCAAAGAACCGCGATATTTTAAAACCCAGATCAAACTAATCATTAGTTTGTATTCTGCATGGGTTTTGTTGGCGACACTTTTATTATCATTTTTTCGCAGCTTTTCTTTTTCCTTGGCGGATGGGTCTTTTTTCTCCGTCGCCTCTTTAAAGATTATGAGGTACAACACATGACCATTGTTGTGTTTTTCTCATTTACATTCTCGTTGTCTTGTCTAATGTTTGAACTTGTTACATTTGAAATTCTGGATATACTGGAGTCTTCTTCGCGCAGAATTCACTGGCAAATAGTGCTGTTTATTACATTGATCGATGTCATAATTGTCCTTCCCTATCTCATATCTTTCTACCTCGTTGCAACGTTTGGATTTCTTAATAATCTTAAATTGCGTCTGGGTGGCTCTTTTTTAGTATTTCTGTTTTACTTGTACCTTTTTTGGAAACTTGGAGTCTCATTTCCAATATCCAGCTCACGTCACACAGTTTTTTCCTTTGAGCCGTGCATTGGAAGAGTTGGCATTATAGGTGTTACGATAATGGCCGTGCTCTCCGGATTCGGTGCGGTTAATTACCCCTACACATGCATGAGTCTGTTCATCCATCCTGTCACACGTGCTGCCATTGATACCAGCGAGAAACGTCTAATGCAAACATTCAACATGCTTCTTGCTAAAAAACGTCGACTTTGTCACTTTGAGCTTGAGAAAAAAGTGAGTGCTGTTTTTGCTGCTACTATTCTTGTCAGGATGTTTGAGTACAAAATATTCAACTTCTGCTACTCTAATCTTAAGATTCTACTGCCTTTGCATGTGTTTATTTTTGTTAGATCTTTTTATCCGTCAATGAACATATTAGGATGCCGAATATTAATGCCATACTTTATGGTCCAACTTTGTACGTTGGTTATGTGAACATGTCAATCTCACTATCGGGCACTATAATTATGGAAGGTTACCTTATTGGAGAATTTTAGTTTTTCGTACTCTATTCTTTTATCAAGTAAAAATACTATCAGTTAAATAATTCACTGGAAATTGTAATATTATTTCACTGACTTTTGTATTTGTATTTCTTTTTATTGCTTAGCAGGCTTGTGAAGTAGCCTTCAAGTTGACTTCTTGGGTCGCTTAGTGCGTAACCTTTACTGTGTCAAGATTACTAGATTCAACACAATAACTGACCTTCTTGTCAAATCTTCCTGTTATATAATAGCCGAGAAAAAAAGATTCTGAAGCATTAATGTCAATTAGTTCTTTTCGTGCTACTCAGTTTTTCACTTTAAAAATAAAATGCTCACCTATGAAATATTTCCGTATGCGTGACCTTTACGCATTGTAATCACCTAGCATCGAATTTAAGTGCTTGTATCGAACACATTCCTTATTGTTTAAGTCCTTATTACTTGTAAATCGGTAAAGTTTTACTCTTTTAGCCTTCTACAAACAACGGTAGTAAGTTCTGGGGAGTGATTCAAGCAGTCGGAACCAAACTAAGCGGGAGTAACATCAACACCCGAGCCCTAAAAGACGAGGTTACCGAGCTTCCTTATACTCAAGCAAAAATAGTTGAAAATGTAATTTCACAATATTATTTTAGATTGCAAGCCTCGAAGAAGTGAGTCGCCATCTTTTTCTGGAATTACACCAACTGCGCTGTGCTGAAGAGCGGATTGAATTCTCTCGTACTCTGAAAGGTCAATATTTCAACTTTCTTGGCTACTTTTTCTGTGTGTACTGCATTTGGAAAATTATTGTCAGTATAGCCAATATACTTTTCAATCGGGTCGGGTTACAAGATCCAATCACACGTGGAATCGACATCGCAGTTCACTATTTTGGATTCACGTTTGATGTACCCTTTTGGTCCCAACAAATATCATTTTGGCTTGTGGGTGTTATCGTAATTACTTCTATCCGTGGACTCTTGATCACACTGACCAAGTTTTTCTACGCAATTGCGAGCACCAAGTCGTTCAATGTAATTGTCCTTTTTATCGCCCACGTTATGGGGACATACTTCCTTTCCTCTGTTGTTTTGTTGCGGATGAATATGACGGCGGAGTACAGGACAATCCTAACCCAGATCCTCGGAGACCTCCAATTCCATTTCTACCATCGCTGGTTTGACGTTATTTTCTTGGTGAGCACGGTATGCAGTATTTTCTTCCTCTACATTGCGCACAAGCAGGTCACGGAGACTACTTCGACGAGGGTTCTTGCAGACGATATCGACTGGCACACCCATACCCGCTGAACTATTTCAGAGTATTTTTGTTACGTTTTTCAAGACTGCATTTGAAATAATAATTGCCTGCCAGTAAATTTTTGGAGATTTAGAAAATTGCCTCATCCCTACTTTAGGATCAATATGTTTTTAGGCAATTAAATCTGCCATATTTTGCCATCTCAACTGATTCATCCTAAAAAATCGAGTGCAATCGCAAAAAAGCGTTTTTTCCCTGGATGTCAGTTATTTCTTACCAACACCATCTATGTAGGACGAATTTGAAAATTAGATGGAGTGTGTCCGCTAAAAGAACCAAGTAAATCAGCAACCTACACTACAGAGTGAATGTATTAACTTGAAAGGATTATTATAGCTCGGAATGTTCTTCCCGATAAATGGACACATATAATCAACCAAACGGCCCATGTACAATACTATGGAAGAGGGTAGGTGCCGTGCAGATTGACGAGAGCATGACTGATTCATGAGAACAACCACGAAAGTCCAACGGGCAGACCTAACAATGATGAACTATGTATGCTGCTGTTACTTTACAGCATCAACGTCTGAAATGATGTTCAGTTTATATAGAAAACCGGCCGATAGGTGTTTGCAACAGGGTGCTATCTCTCCCCAAATGGCACCGGCAGACCAAACAAGTGGGTCTTGGCAACGCTAATTGTGGTTGGCACATGAGCATAAATCCAACCGTGGGTCACCTCACTCTTCCACGTAAGCAAAATCATTAAGCCCCTGTCCCGCTTTCCGTGTCCATTACTAAAATCGAGTCTTCAGTTTCTCATCACTAAAGGCAACAGTGCTGCGACCACGCTTGTCCCTAACATGAAATACAACTTTGGGCCCCAGCCCCGTCAAATGTATATAAATTAGTTTTTAAGCCAACCAACCTCAATTCCTCATCCCAGACAAGCGAAACGACCGATGACCCAAACGCTCGGGATTAACACCAAAGCGTCAAAATTTTGGAACCTAGCACAACAATGTGATGCTTGAAACATTCAGGACTCTTGGCATAAGGCAGAAAGTCAAAGGTACGTCGATGACTCCAAAAAAAAACAATTTCAATCAAAATGAATACAAATATTTATACTGTACACAACCATGGAGAATGGGAAAGTGCGTCAATAAAACACCAGGATGACATCACTCTAGTTCGTGATATCGAGCATACATTGCGCGCTTCACATTGTCTTTATAATTGTCGGCCGGAGGTAGCCGCTTGGAGCTTTTAATGCCAAGGCCAACGCCAACTTCTCGAAATTCGGCCTCGACAAGTTGTGTCCGGCCTTGGTTCGATTTTCCCAGACCTTGACCTGCCTGCCAACCCATCTTTTGCATCAAACGACTGCCCACGTTGCTACCGGAAGCACCTGGCAAAGGAAGCAACTAATCACAAAGGTAGTTCTGTGATTACAAAACGACATAGCCTAATTTGATAACCGTACGTTAACAATGTTCAAGTATCAGCCGTTCCATGTCATGGAACTCAATGTTTTGACCGCGCATGCAGGCGATTAAGAGCATATTTCAGACCGCCTCGATACTAATCATGGTGTGGAATAAAAACATTCGTAGTTTGACAGAGAAATGAAATGCACGCAATCACGAACTTACCATTGCTAGCCATGGGGGGTACACAGGTGGGATTGGGTGATGTGTCCATGGCCGGAGGAATCAAAGGAGGGGTCGACTCCTCTAAATTTTCTGTTTGTCGCTCAATTCTCTGTGGAGGTACGGTACCGAATTTTTCCCTTCGTTCCCTAGCCCTGTCTCGGTACCGACCGCCAACACCATAATGCGGCGGTGAATTCGTACCGGAAGTAGTGTGCTGTTTATTAGCAGCAACATTCTTGGCGTGATTACTAGCCGCAGCCGCGCCCAACTGCATAAGCGACTCGATTGCCTCGGCGTGGGTCTGAGATTCCGAGTGTTGGGGCTGTTGTTGGTGTTGTGCAGAAACTGCTGACAATTCCTTCAAACCATACTTTGAACGAAGTTTATTAAGATTCTGAAGATGAAGAGTGGAGAAACTACGGTGTTTCTGCATTGTTTTTACGTCTTTGAAACCTCGAGAGCACAGAAGGCAAGCCATTTTAGTCCAATCCATTAGCCTAGACACGAAAACACATGATTAGGCGTCTTGTTAAAAAGTGATATAGCATGATCCGACATTCACAAATCTAAATGCCAAAGAGATCTTTAGATTCCAACGACAAAATGCCAATCTTTACAAGCAGAAGTTTCAAATGAATATTTAAGGAGAATTAAAGAAGTAGTGCTTCCCGTAATTCCGTATTAATGCATAGCTAGGTTTCTTTTGCTTAGCGGTTTGATTTCGAAAGTGAATAAACTTAATATAGACCTTTAGTAAACGAATAAGTCCTCATTGGGTGTTAATTACCTGACAATCTGTCGACAACCTGAATTGATGAGGCGCAAAGAAAGGAAAAAATCGAGTGAAAAGCATTACGGTTCACCTTCGAAAAGTTATTCTTTAGAAGTACGAAAGTGATTTTAATGGTGGCTGTTAGACGAATACTGAAAAAAAATTGACTACGGACGCGTGCAAATTTTTCAAGTCTAAATACAGCGAATGGTCACTTAATAAATACGCATCTTGATTTATGAACGAGAGTATCAACATAAAGTATCGACGCATATGAGCGACAATTTGAATCATTCCACTATCAAACCAGTGAATTTATGGTATCGACGAATCCAGCACCATTAAAGCAGCCGTTAAACAGCCTGACATTTATCCAAACAATATAACTCTTATGAAGCTCATGATTAAAACAGGCCTTGCTAAGGTTTGGTTTTGAGGTTCCTGAACATGACTTTGTATTATAAACACCCCAACGAATCGAGGTGATCTACAAACGTGTTAGCAACAGCTAACCTTCCGATTTCGGATAAATTTTTTACAGCATAAAATGTAATGTCTCATGGACTTCTTTGTGGTTAAATGGAATTGGTGGCACATAAAAAAATCCAGATTAATTTCCTCAAACTAGATAAAATCTGTTAAAAGAACCAAATGCATAGAATTTAAATAGTAAATTCTACAGCGACAGGCGACTTACGAATTTGATTCACTTTGTATTTAATAAAATGCAACCCGTACTAAGTTCATTTCACTCAAACTGTCGTTGCTTTTCCGGTTCTCCGTGGGCATCTTTAATCATACAACTTAATTCCGGCAATGCTGTACTCACAACTCATGTTTCATTAACACTGTGTTAACCACAAGGTCATCATGAATTTGGTCATCTTCGGTCCGAAAGATATCACTACTTAGTGGTGGTCAATCATAATGGATGAAAACGCAAGGGCAATTCAAGCAAAACAAAAAAAACATAAACAGCTTTCCAAACAAAATACCGTAAAATGTGGGGCTTACTTTGATTCTTCTGCAGCCACCTGAGTTTCGAGCTCCTTTTCATCTGACTGACCAGTTTCGTCGTCTTCGCTATCCTCGCCACCATATTGAGCCACCAGACCTGCCGTTGTCGAAGCACCGTTTGAACTGGCTGCGTTCGCAGCCTGGAGTATCGCGTAACCCATATCAGCCGTTTTGCTGCTTTCAACCTAAAAATATGCCAATATTTTCTACGTACAGTCGGTGTTTTACTGCATCGGCGATGAACCATTACTCATTCAAATTATGATTTTTAATGAAAGAATTATGCATAAAACCTAGAAAACAATAGAACTAAGCATTGGCTTATGCTATGTACACTAGTAAAATACCGCTTAAAAAACGACTCACATTGGTTTGCTCTAACTTTGGGGCCATAGCAAGTGCTTCCTTTTGTGAATTCATGCGCTTGGCCCATTTTTCCATCTCCTTAGCAATCTTTTGAGCAGCCTTTTCTTTCTCCTTTTTTTCCTTTTTTTTGGTGGGTTCTTCAGTAGCTTTAGTTGCCTCATCCTGTCGTTGTTGACCAGCAACCTGAGAAGCAGGGATGTAGAGACTTCTCGATGCATCGTAATGAAAATATTGTTGGGTGTTGCGATCAAAGAAGTAGCGAGTATTTGGTTCGTAGAGCAGACCCGTCAAAGGATCATAATAGAAGCAGATTGTTTCGTCATAGAGAAATTTTGCGGTGTCAGGAAAAGCTGTAAGAGCGAGCAGCACAAATTTAAAATAACTTGAGATTCATGCAGCAATAATATGGTAACTTTCCTCTTACAATATACGACTGATCGTTTAGGACCAGTCCCAAGCCACACAAGAGCGACAATTCGTTTCTTATGGTGGGGGTTAGGTGTCACGGAAAAACCGAAAGCGGCGAGTCCTCAATACACTGTGTAATTTTTCAATATAACTTATAAACGGATGAAACACACCGAGAACTTAACGAGGGACAGACAGACCCCTCTTTGCAATCCCTATAAAATTACCTTCACCAGGGTTATCAAAAATAGTGACAAAACCGGACTCACGGTATTGGGTCGTAGGAGCTGTAGCGGAATTAAACGGCATCGTCGGAGCAGGGAAGTTGGCTAAGGTGTTGGGGTAGGTCTGGGGTCGAGAACTAGTGCTGCCCCGTTGGGGAGGGTACCCAAGAAGTCCCTGGGGGTGGTGTACCGACTGCGCTACGATTGAGGCTAGGCGTGCCTCTGTTTGCTTCATTTGTATTGCCGCGTGTGCCACCGCGGCTCCAGAGGAAGGTAAAGGAGGTGGAGGCACTGAGAACTGACTTGGTATATAAGGACTATATCCTGTTGCATTAGTGACTGATTGCGGCTGTGCGTAACCTGCAATTGCTTGGTCATTCAGGGCTCCTTCAGCTTTCAACGTTGCCATAATTGTACTAAAGTGAATGGAAATCTTTTACAAATCGCAATGAAAAGTTTAAGTACAATAATGAGAATTAAAGCACAACAGCTTATTTTTGGAATGAATGGTATAGTAGATTCAAAGCGCACTTACATCTATGAGCTTGAAATATGATATTTCAGATAAAAGTGCATATTTGTTTGAACGTTCGAACCCAAGAAGCAAAAATAGTAGCTACATATATACAAGAAAGTGGCAACGGGTAAACGCCATTTTTGGCACCTAGCTTACTTGAAATTATTTTTTGCGTAATTAACAGCAATCGCTTTGCCTTCAATTTCAAAAATTTTGTGTTCCTTTACAATGGTATCCACAACCTTATAGGCATCAGCCACCGAGGGCAGTTCAGCGATGGCAAAACAACGCGACACGTTGGTGGTGTTGTCACGCATGACGTGACACCGCTTAATTTGCACGTTGTCGTGTTCACTGAAAGCAGCTTGGATACTTGCCTCTGTAGTCAAAGCATCCAAACAACGCAAGACCAAAGCTGAAAGGCGGAAAGTCGTACGTTAAAAAGTTAATTATAAAATATGCTTTTGTCACTAGGTGTTTTCTGATTTCCGTAACCTAAATATTGTTACTGAGGTTTCGGACGAGTGGTGTAAGGATGCTTACATGGACTATAACTAGATCGAAGCCTGGGAACAAGATGTTTCTAAAGTGAAAAATACGAGGGAAATTCTATTAGAAAAAAACGTGCACTAAAAAAAATAAACTCTCCTTACACATAAAAAGACTCACAAGCCAGTTCAAATCTAGCGATAACACTACAGCACGAGAAGTAGGAAATTTATTCAATGACATATTAAGGCAATTGCTAATTAGTGTAGCTAACCATTAATGGCTATCGGAACTTAAGTTACACTACGAAACTAAATCTAGCTTAGACCGGTACATTAAGAACTTACTGTTGCAAGGCGTTGTTCCAATAAGATCTGATCCATCTGAATTGTAGGCACTTGAGTTTGATTGTAATTGAGAACGCGGTAGTTGACAGCGGAAACAGAAGTCACGTCGTTTGAAGTTGTGGCTCGTACACTAAAGTGATATCAATCAACACCAATGTGCGGTTCCATTAGTACAACACTCAAATAATGATTGGGGAACGGGGAATCACGGCAAAGCGTCTACATAAGCATTCCGAGAATAGGACAATGTCGAAATTGAAGTTTCAATGCCCTGTTAAAGGACCAGAAAATGAAGGCAGATGGTACCCACCCTGGAGCAAATCCAATCACCCAAACTGACAGATTCCTGGACGGTAATTTGGGGGTTGCCAGGACGAATTTCCCGATTACTTGTTTCACTCCTAATAGGTTCATTCTGATGACGCGGAGAGCTGAAGTTCAGTCGCAGAGCATTGCGCCGAATATTAAGCACGCCCTACAACGGAGGAAGGATTTAATGAGTCAAGTAAGTAAGCAATCAACAATAGCTGGGAGCCTTGTGCCGATCAAGGAAATGTGCATGATATAAGAAAATGACTCATTGATATGGGGCCTGGTTTTGTTACATCGAAAAGAAAGATTACTTTTTGCGCATCCATCCACTGGCTGGCTTCCTGTGTGGAAGCGAATTCGATAAAACCGAAGCCCCTCGACACACCTATTGAAAAGAAGACCCGACAGTATTAACACAGAACCCCCGCATATCAAATAAAGTTGCCCAGAAGGTACGCATTTTCGACGTAAGCTAACCACCGTTTTATGATCGCAAATATGGGAATTTCCTCTAAATTGTATCTTGGAAGTGAATGCCATAGGCTCTGCTGGGCAGAGAAATGTATACGCAAGAACCGCGCTCAAAGACCGAATGGGGGCACCCAGACATACGCCGCCATATATACCGGACGTGTTAGAATAACGAGAGGGTATACAAAAGGCAAAGGTCTCTCTTTGAAACCAACCTGTTAATTTATCACGAATTACGCGAACATCGGTGTAGCGAACACTGTCCCGGGCTAGTTCATCGATAATCTGCAGAGGACAGGAAAAATAATGAACTAGCATATCCTACATCACGTTCATCGATCCCGACAGGCATTCCGCGGATCATAATCGTTGAGGTGGGCTCCTCAACGTTTCCAGAGAAGCGGGAGTCGGAGACGTGATGACGGTCAAACCTATCAGCCTCGTCTTTTGGATCGGCATAGTCGAAAAGGACCTTGAAGCCACGTACCTTTATTTCATTCTTAAGAGACAATGAGGGAATTACAAGTACACCAACCCGACAGTTGCGAATAAAATTATAAGCATCCTCAGGAGAAAAATCAACGAATGCAAAGCACCTCGACTTATCTCTCACAAAGCGTATATCAGTGAATCGAGCTCTTTCATCCTCAAGAGCGTACCGTAACTGAAGAATTACGAGGAAAACACACTTACGTCGCGTTCAGATACGGATGCCGGCATGTCATTAAAAAGAAGTGTTGAAACGGTGTTGGGGTCGCATGAGATAGACCTTTGACTAGTTTAATGAGCAACGTAATTGAGCCCCTTACTTGTACTCTGAACAGCCCCGATAATCCCTGCAAGTCTTCCTAGGCCGGTACTCTTCGTAGTCCCCCATTTCACAACAACTTTTGGAAGCGAATGTCCGGTAGATTAAAACAAATCGTTTTTGCCTCTGAACAAGTTTAGAAAAATTTCAATTTCTCATCTCAAACTTTGAATCTGAAATATGAATTTGAATAAGCCAAGTTGCTCTCTAAGTTTTTTAAACGATTGTGTAAGGTAAATCAAAATGAATTCAAGTTATTTGAAATGAATATTGCAGATGTGCCTTATTAGTGCTGAAAAACCCACAGAATGTACTTAGATAGCAGCGCTGACTAAGGACTGGGTATTTATGAGGGTCAATATGACTAAAAACTAAACAAATATTTACTGAATAATCATATTAGTGGTAGCTAACCGTAAATAGCATAATCTGAGCAGCATTGCTTTGAATCATGAGTAGGTTCACGATAAGGACACCAGAAACTTATCTACACTATCAGATTATTGGCGAATGTTTTAAAAACAAGTTGGAATTCGCTGTTGCGAAGTATCAGTGGCAGTTTACTGATAGCATTACCAAGGATTTATAGAGCCGCTATGTCTCAATAAACAGATCCACTTTTTCAAATGTCAGTTTGGGTATTTTGGGTTAGCAGTATGTATGTGAATTCACGTAAGACGTGAAATACAATATAAAGAAGCTAGTTTCGTGACCTTCGAGAGCAGTAATAATTCATACTGCCTTATAAAAATAGGTCATTGAAACCACAGCATAGAGTGTTGTTCAGCTGTTAACCTTCTTAATAAGACCATCATCGTTTGAAAGCAGTAAACCTAGGGACCGATATCATAACTACTCTGGAATAAGTAATCGATACGATAGAGTACATTTTTGGCGATTTAGGTGGGGTGGGATTTCGTTTACACGATAATAGGATTTTCAAAGTTAAATAGCCTGAAGATAGTCTGTAATTAAGATTGCAATTAAGTAATAGGCATGGTAAATTCAGCGGCGAAAGTTTAAATTGCGGATAAAAATTTAAATTTAAAGCTTCTTCGTAGTTGGTCGTCGAAGTAAGCTAAATATTTTCCCAATAAATGGGGTAAACGATAAACATGCTTAGGTCTAACGACATATTTTGTGTAAGAGTATCTAGAAATCCCTGAGCTTTTTAAGGGAGAGTGTCTTGTAACGATATAATAGTTTTGGCGTCATTGATGTAATTACATGTTTTGGACAAAAAGCTACAGATTAACCACAAAGTGTATTCGCGGGATAATTGTGCTGTACCAAGGCACTTTCATGTGTTCATTGGGCAGATAACTGAACTACAAAGAAAATTATGAACAATAGCCTCCTCAGCGTTAGAGTCTACTCAACGGTGATATTGTGCACTTAGCTGTGCTGCAATCCTATTTGATTAAGATATGTTGGAAGCGACCAGCTTTTTTAAAAGTATTTGTAATTTTAAAATGTCCCTTTCACAATTCTCGTTGTGATTCAAAGTGAACACTGCTTTCAATTTGCCCGGTTGAACAGCATTGGTGACATACTTTCTGCCTGCTTTTACTGTTTAACAAATATTGTTTCCACTGTTTGTTGTCATGTAATGTTTGATGCTTTTTAGTTACGCTTACGTTGTTAAATGTCTAGGATTGTCTTTTATTTGTTTCTGTTTCAACGTGCTTATTTGGCATTTCGAAATTAACCATTATAATTGGTGACTGAATATTGTTTATGGAAATTTCAAAGAATGCAACGTTGGTTGGGTACCAAACTGTGAGTAGATATGTGCTATTGATCCATGAAGCATTCATTGGTATTAAATGCATTATGCGTTTTGACCCCAAAATACAATTAAGTTGCTTCTGACCTAATCTTCTTGTTACGAGGATGCAGTTTAGCTTGATGGACACCAGTATGAGCTATGTCGTATATGTTAAACGGTTAAATATGTGTGAATGTGAGGATTGCGTTTTGTCCGTGATGTTTGGGCTAAAAAGGTAAGGCAATAAAAATGTTGGTATTAACGGTCATTGTACCAAGACTTTTTTCACAAGCTCACAAGCTAGATTCGCTGAAAGCTTTAATTCTTGTGCCATTTTCCTTTGCCGGTTTAATTCGAAAAGAAATATGCATTAGATTTTCCTAACAATACGGTCAAGTAGGTGCAATTTAAGATGACTGGAAATTAAATCACAAAGCCATTATTGGTAGCATCCTATGGGGTATAGAGTGTTGCTTTAAAAAGTGTGAACAAAAAATATTTGTTGCATGAATATGTGCAGAATACACGGCTAATTATAAAAGCCTTCGAAATGTTGGAATGAATTCTTTAAAGCCAGTAGTTGCAGATTAAAATAAATTATACCTAAATAGGTAGCCTTCGTATAAGATTAATAACTTTTACGTGGATAATTTTTGAGCTTTTAAGCAACGAATCTTTCGTGATTTATATTACTCCTCAGTATTTTGACTCTCCAAAAATGCGATTAAAAAGCTTGAGAAAGTTTGTGACAAAAAATATAGACATAGCTGACAAACTAAGCTAATTATGCATTTGCTACGTTTTCGAAAATAGGGCATATTTGCTTGTTTTTGTTTATACGCTTTTGAACTGTTGGCGGTTACTTTAGTCTCAGTTGTTTTACAGTGGGCCACAGGTTATGGAGGAGTATGTCAGGGAGCCGTGGTACGTCATCTGGTCATATCATTTATGTAATATGGAACTCTAACGATATTATTTTAGGATTGCGCTTGCTTAATACCTAGAAACCCAGTATAAATGTATTATTTTTGTGTACTTATTATTCGCTTGCGTCAGCACGTGTAACTACTGTAATTACCCTTTGTATCAATTACATAGTCATTTATGGATATGGAAAAGTAAGCAATACGTAGTTCAGTGTGGTCTTCATTCGGTTCTGCGTTGATGACGTACTGTCGATCTTCATAGTAGTTTTTTTGTTCTAAACGCCAAGACAAATTTTGCCCAGGAGGCACACAGTGCTTCACTTCTTCTGCATTCCATCCGATTATTTCTTTTATAAGTTTGATTTGCGCTTTTAAGACCTACTGTGTCTTCTTTCATGCTGCGAAATTTCATGTAACGGGTTTTGAATTTCATTATTACTGAAGCATGGATCTTTCCATTACCGTAGTTGCCACAATATATTGCGTTTAGTGACATCTGTTCAGTCGTATTGCATCGGTAATGAACTTCATTTTATCTGGTTTCATTATCCAACCTACCATCAAGTTCACTTTAGGAATTTTTTTTGCTAGGTCTCTAATATATATTATGGAATTGGTTTTGTGCAAAAACATGTCACGACTTTTCCTCTAACATTGTTTCACAAATTTAGCATTTGTCTTGTTTATGATAATATTCCCCTATATATACAGAATTGGAATGGCCAACCGAAGTCGATTTGCCTTACCTCTCTTTATGAGAAGACGAGCCCAACTAATCTTTTCATTTAATTGCTTTCTGAAATGCTTAAGCATTCACATTGTTTCAGTCCTTTCCGGATAGTCAGTGACTGTGGGGCTGCTTTCGCCATGGGCACAATCGGTGGTGGCCTGATTCATGCTTATAAGGGCTATCGGAATGCTCCAGCCGGTCAGTTCCGCAAATTTTCCTCTGCATTTGCTCAGAGCCGGATGAAAGCGCCTCTCCTGGGTGGTGCCTTTGCTGTTTGGGGCGGCATGTTTACCGCCGTTGATTGCACGCTGGTTTTTGTCCGTAAGAAGGAAGATCCCTGGAACTCAATTACAAGTGGGGCCATCACAGGCGCTGTTCTCGCAGTGCGTCATGGACCTGCGGCTATGGCTGGTCAGGCCGTAATTGGTGGAATAATTCTTGCTATCATCGAGGGCATTGGAATCATGATGAGTCGATTCGCCCCTATGCTTATGCGTATGTTGGCAGTTATAGTCAAGTAAAATTCTTTATCGTCCTATTCACCTAGCTGTCTGATCCTTAATAACAGTATGTCTGAGCGGTCCACGTTAAGTGGTGGGCTTATAATTTGTTACTTATTGCGATACATTTTGTCTGCTGTTAAGCTCGGTTGAAGTAATTTTCACGCCTTAAGTTGCGGAGGTGAATTTCTCATTGATAATTTACATCCATTTTCGATGGTTTCTTGGCTGGGTGCTTTTTGCCGAATGAATCCACCATCAGTTGCAAATATTAAGCATCAGTAGATCTACAAATAACCTTATCGACGAACTCCAGTTGTTTACCATAAAGCTTATTTAATGGCCTTGTTCATTTTATTTTGTCTGCAATTTTAGATGTAGTATTCGTTTTCTAATCAGGGCTTTTGTTTTCATCTTGAAACGCATGAATTATTTTAACTGTTTCAATTTATAAAACAGAACGGATCTACCCATTATTTATCTCCCTCAATTTCTTACCAATAATAGGTAGTAGATTTCGCCTGGGTGGTACACCACTGTATGCTTTTAGGTCAGTGTTTTTGCTGGTGCTTCACATTCAAATAAAGTTATTATAAGTGAAATGTAATCTGCCAGCCATTAGCATAAGTATGAACTGTTGCTGGTTAGCGTATCAACTAAATGCAATTTTTCCAAACAAGTTGCAAATAACTGTGCTACTTCCCAATTATTAGTAGGGAGTTTTGTTAAATTTAGAACAACCAGAGATGCCCGAAGAATCGCAACCACCATCGGACGGGGGCAGCGGCGGTTTCTTCAGCAGCTTCTTCTCTAGCGGCCCTAGTAGCTTTGAAACTTCTAGCGCTCCACCTCCCGTTAGCACCTCCTCTAGTGACGGCCAGTCTCCATCAGCAAGTGGGGGCTTCATGTTCCAGTAGGGGTTGTGGCGGTCTCCTCCACTCTCGCTGGCTCAAAGCGCGCATTGTACAGTTCGGCGTCTCTTTGCCTTACACCTACTCAGCCCATGTTTTTTTGATGACTGGTTTTTAGAAAGTCGATGGGATTTGTATCTGCTCTCCTCGCTGTCATTAAATGAGTCGCGACTTCTTGAGCCAGCAACACATCTGTTTAATTTCGGCTTTGGTCGACAAGTCTTTGTTCCAAAAGCTCGGGTCAGTTGCAATGCACGTTTTGCTGTGTCGTGCTTTTGGGAGTTTTTAAATGATAATTTGAATTGCCTAAATGATGCCAAACCTTCACATTTCCGGACAAAGTAGGAGTAGTTTTAAGTTTAGTCATGCACGTCGAATGAATTTATTTCATTTTTTTCATTGAATTCGTTACCACCAAGAAACAGAAAATCACATTTAGGATTGAATCCGTGTCATAGGAGACGCGGACTTTTTTCTTTGTGTAAGGCAAAGCGGCGTTTTTGTATTCGCCTAATGTGGGATCAACTTATGGTTGGCATTCACTCGTTTAAGGTTCGGTAGTCTCTGTATTATCTCACCAAAAAAAGGTGTGCTTAGCGTTGGATGCACTACTCAGTCATTTTAAGTGTGAACTCGGGATAGGCTGTAGTAGAAAGGTGAAAGGATGTCTTCTGGGTCGCAAAGTATGGTTCTTGAGATCATCGTCCCAATCATTATCTTTGTGATTAGACCGGGCAGCTAGTACATTCCAGTAGTGAATAGGTCTTCATATCAGATGGAGATACGAGGGTTGTGGGTGCCTACGTTGCGTAATTGCACGTTCCCTTTTTTTCAAGGTGAGGGACCTCGCCATTTCCCTCAAAATGTATCGTACTTTTACAGGTTAAATGATATTCAGACCTGGTAAATTTTAGCCTTGAGGTGCCACTATGGCTTACCTTGAACACAAAAGCCAGTCTTGCTTTTTTTGCTCCAACAACGGGCAATCAGATGGGCGCGCGGGGGGTGGCGGTAGGGGGCACCACCGTCCCAAATGCCAGCTTGCGAAATTCACAAGAGCAAACTCGTGAGAGAAAAACAGTCGTAACCCACGCATACAATTCCGAAACACTCGTTCCTCCTACCCTCCTGTCAGGACGCCGCAACGTTATAGAAGAAGTGGAAAAAACGAACAAAGCAGAAGGAAACGATAAATCGTTTCTGACGCGGGTTCTCTAAAGTGACTTCAAACGTTAAAAAAATATGGGGAGCTTGCCAAACAGGGAAACCACTCCTTTTGCTTCACACACACACACGCCATTACTGGAATCTGATGGTTTGTTGCTAATCTTTTCTGGAGAAAATTGTCTGTATTTGTGTTTTCGATTTAAGCTGACTGCCACGCCCAAGCTTTGCGTTATGGCCCGAGAGTTGTGCTAATTATTTGGGCTCGCGAATTAAACTCACTTCGAATTAGGGTTAGGACTTTTGAAGTGTCACGTACACCCTTGCATTTGTATCCATGGTTATGATCCCTTTTAAAGGCTCAACTGCTTGCGCCTTCTCTCGCAATTGAAAAAGGCGTGTTCGCGACCTGAGTGGTTAGTATCACGGCCTTAATCGCAGTAGTTCAAGAACAGTTTGCCAAGGGTTCGTGGCGCCCGTTGGCTTATGCGTGAAGGTGACCTTACTTCGCCGAAATGGCTTCTCCGTCCAACAGCCATTTTCAAAGTGTAATATTTACAAATACAAGATTGCGCATGGGTAAATTGTGCTATGTTCAAAAATGCCTAGAGGCCATTTAATTCGTCAATATGGGGTTATAAAAATCTTCGTCCGCATGAGTGGAAGTTTGATTACGTTTTTCGACAACAATATTAAGGTTGTCGGATGTTCCTACTACGAAAAGAGGAACCGTTTTAAACCATGAGAAAGGATTTACCACACTTAGAATTTGAGTGCAAATCTGAGTCAGTTTTATCACAAAAAAAAACTGTGCGGGCAGAAAGGAGGGTTTTTTGTCTCCTTGGCACTTTGATGATTGAAATGGACATCATCATGGGGAATGAAAATCAAGATGGACAGAGTAACTACGTTCTGAGCCTGACATTTTATGAAGCTAGCGAGATTAGAGCAAACTACTGAAAGTGGTAAATTGTGACCTAAGGCATGCTTATCGGTCGTGTGTGACAGCCCTTAATGAAACCCTTTTGCATATATGCACAAAATTGCAAATTTTGTGAAAGAGTCCACCAAAAAAGAAGTTCATGAAATCGATAAGACATTTTAGTTTTGCAGTGTTGCTCTCTAGTGGCCTTCCTCACCTTGACAAGCTCAAGAACAGGTATGCAGATGCCAACAACCGTTATTTTTTGACAAGAATAAGCTAAATCTTTCGTTTTGAGCGTTTCAATTACATGAATGTTGTTGAGTACATGTACACTTAACCTAGGTAAGTTTAAAAATTTCGAAAGCGCAATCACAATAACAATGTTCTCTGAATTCGATCAGCAACAGAGCACTAAAGTTGTTTTTATCACAAATGCCGTAAAACTAATGAATGGAACAGGGGTCTAGACTAGAAATCCGTATCGAGTCCGCTCCCGCCATTAGAACATACCTTGAAGGAATCCGTGCTTTTGGTAATATATCAACTACGTTACCTGTGCACAAAATTAGCTTTTGCAAACGTAGAGTAGTTGTGAAATTAAATCATATTATACTTCCCAGCGATCCAGCCCCACTGTTTTCTGTGTTCGTAAAATGATGAAATTAATTTGGCCTCTTAGGTAAATGCCTCGGGTTTCTTACTCCCTGAGTTGTGGAACAGCATCTAACTATATCTACTGTTAGATGAGGTCACCCCTTTCACCTAATATGTTAAACAGAAGTTAAGTTTATTTCGTGATGAGACTACCTCAGTGTGCTCTGAGTGGGTTTTAATCGTACTTCCTAAGCCTCTGTTTATTATTAAACAAACACAGAGCATCTACTTTGCATTCCACCCCATCAACTTAATAAGGTATTTTGGTACCAAAACTGTGAGAATGCTGAGATCGGTTACCGATGGTTAGACGGAGGCCTGGGGTCACGTGGGTCGAAGTTGTGCAGTGATTCGTATTAATGCCTGTCCAATAACCCAGTCCGCTCATACACCCTTGTGCATGTGCCACTCCCACATTGCACGCGCTGCATTCGTCTGACCTTTCAGCCACTTGTACTTTTATAGGTTCACCCAGTCTGCATTGATCAACAACACGCTTTAGTCAGACACGTTGTAGTAGTGGCTGGAGAATTAGCACTACTTTATAACCCTCTAGTTTACAGCCCGTAGGTAACCGAGGAAAGGGGGAAAAGCGGCGACAGAGAACACAACCGTTTATTGGTGTCAAACCAGCCAAGTGGCTTTGTGGGCGTATGAGTACGCGTGCGTAACAGAGGCCAATAACAAAATGGGTGAGTCATTGGTTCACTCGGGCCCTCGCGCACGCATCACTCACGCTAGGTGGCTGTCAGTCCACTACAACGTTTTATGTGCAGGTTCGCGACTAACGCAACTTTTTTTGAGCTATCTAGTAAACAGTCATCTCGCTCTCTCCGGTCTTCTTCATCTTCGCGGATACTCAAGAGAGCGTATCCGGGCGAGGTTAAACTCAGTGCCCTGGCGTAGCTTGAGACTGAATGCCGGGTCCCACAACAGTTTGTAGGGGATTTCAGGGGAAAAGTAGAGACAGCTTTGTAGCACAGATTGAATCTACGGTGTCTTGGAGGCATTCCAAACAACAAGCCCACCTGTTAGATGCACAAGCTTTAAACATCATTTTAATCCATTACTGTCCCTACTTTTCATTGGGTGAAAGGCGGATGAGAGCCAATTAAAAGTCGAATCACATGCTGATCGCACGACGTGGCAGATCAGGAAAGTCGCCCTGGTCTCAAAATATAGACAATATGGCACGCACTTGTTCAACGATGCGTGAGATAGAATAACACGAGAATGTGCGCAGGGACACATTAAGAGGCATAATTAACACTACAGGGTCAAGTAAGGCGCAATCTAAGGCCTAGAGAACTTTGAAGACAAATTAAGTAACGAAAAATTGCCAGTGGCATTAATTCAAACTGATTCTTACGACGGGTAACCACTACCTTAATACAGCAAATCGCTAGGTTTTTTTTTCAACTTCGAAATCTTTGTTCCGTGGCTTTCAAGGTAGGTACTCAAGGCTTCGCTAATGTGATGATTTCGAAGTGAAGGAGTGTTGACCAATCAACTACTGCTGTTCGACCTTTTTTATGGCTAAATTGGTGGCTGAGAAAACTGGTCCATACATAGTGATGGTTTTGATGCTTTGATCGTGTTGATAAATAATTAAAACTAATCTGAATTGAATCAAACGAGATGATGTGGTCTTGGAGTATCTTAATCCCATCCCATGGCTTGGTGCAGCCACATTTCAACCCACCAATGATTTAGTCAACCTTGGTGTGACAGAATTTCAACTTACTCCCCTCGAGTGTGCTCCCTGATAATTCCCAGAAAATGAGCAGGGATACCAACCTGCGCTTTTGAATTTGATGTCTCATGCGTCACTATAAGCACGTGGACAAATGACAGATGGGGGCGTGTTTGATCCCGATATACGCATAATTACGCGCCCCTGACCGAGGTTATGCCAATAAAGTGACCTGAAAACGGCCACAACCGGCATCTAATCTTCCAGTACAGTAGATCCAAGAGAACGTGAGCACGTTGTAGCGCTTGAAACAACGTGTCATCATTCGATTTTGATGCAGTTTAGCCCAAATGTTCCATTTGACAAGCTTCAGATGAAGCGATTAAAAGAATTCGCGACAGGTTTTGTAATGAGATGAGATGCATGAAACCTATTGATCACATGTTGCAGTTCTTCTATTTAAGAATGACATAAGATAGGTATTTACCGACATAAGGAAAGGCAAATTTATTTGAGGGGGAAACGAGTCCAAAATAAAGGCATATTTTAGGATAAAATTATAATTAATAACGTTGTGTTATTGGAACCACTGACACATACTTCAGCAGATAATTTTTGCATTATTTTGTGTAAGTCTTTTTCCACGGGAGTTTGCATTATGTATAATACGCCTAAAGTCACTCTATACAAGAAATTAGGGGAATAACGAATGTAGCAGGAGCGCAATAAATTGTTCACTTTCTGTAATTGCACTTGAATGTGTGCATAGAAAGCCGATTTTTGCACTTTTCTGCCCAGCTGCCATGCGGCTGATCAAAGAGCGCGTTTTGGTGGCGTCACAGGGAGGGGTGGGGGGCTGGGGCGGGGGCAGGACGTGGCGTAGCCATCGATCTTGTCGGAGTGGTCCGCGCGTTTAAGTCAACGTGTTATAAAACGAATTTGCCATGGCAATTTTACCTTTTTAAGGAATTGACATGACAGAATAATACACAAACTTCATCTTTGCTTTGAAGATCCGAATGCGGTGAAAGCATGTTCTATCCATGTGCGCGAAAATCGTTGCGAGTTTGCCTGGAGTGCGGTATTCCTCAACGTAATTTATGCATCACTATCATGATCAGTAGACAAACTTTACATCGAGGTGTCAGCTTTTCTCACATTTATTTTAATCGACGACATGAAGCCGTTTTGTGAGTAGTAAGGCACCTGCTCACTTGGAATGTAACTTCCATGAGCCACATGCGTGTGCATTTGAGTAGTACCCGTCTGCAGGAAAAGGACAAGAAGGAATAATTTACTCGGGAAAATTTCCAAACGAGGTATTAATATTGATCCTCGGCGTTGTTTAGAATATCAATTTTAAAGGGAAATTTTCCTGCACACGGTTATCCTTCGTTTCTTTCAATTAACATGTTGCTGTCTAGACTATTACCATTTTGAAATTGTCTTTTACCCACCTATTAACACGGAAGCTCTAGTTAGTTGATTATTTTAACGTTTTTTATGACCAAGTAAAGTCATTCCCACTCAACCTGACCAAACTAAATATTTGTCTTGTATCACCCATGCTCGATTCCATTACGAAATTCCAGATGGCGCAAAGAGGAGAAAGTAATTTTAACGACGGTAGGGATGATAGTTAAATAACTTCCATGAAAAGATTTTCTGAATAAAATCCCCATGCACAACCCGCAGGATTGCTCGGAGCCATAAGCTATGAAAATTAGACTAGAAGAAATGCTTTCCCGAATTGTTTAAGTGGATAAATCGAGACTACTCAAGCGCAAAAACTTAACGCAAACTAAAGTTGTTGGCTTAAGTAGCAATGATTTCCACAGACTTCTCAATTCTTTTAGTACTTGGGCCGTGTAAAGGGTGTTTCCGAAGATCACAGCTAATCTGAACTGGTGTTTACAAGCCTCTATTAAGTGATTGCGCAATTCGTGACCATCACATTCTTATTAAAACGACATTTTATAATCGCTAAGTTCTATTCACTTCATGCAACTGTCTTACCACATCTAACAAAGTTTCGAAGTTTTCCTTTGTAAGAATCGCGCACATTCTCTTTAAAAGAAATTATTAGGTACAAAGCAAATATTTTGCCAGTTAAATTACTGGGCTGAGAACGAACCAGGTGAAAGTCAGGAGTGGAAGAATCAGAAGAATGCGGTGGGTGCTGCTGGAGACTTCCGCATTTAAACTCCCTACATTTGCGGTGCTTGTTGGGAGACAGGCAGTCTAGCCTGGTCATGGTGAAACATGCTGCTTGTAGTACTAGTGCAATCAGCTTCCTCTACTTGGAGTCCAGCATTGAGTTGTGTGACCTACTCAGAGTGCTACTTTATAGGTTTTTTGTCCACGCAATTTCCATGCGATCCTCTTACCATACACATGAAAACACTCTCAGTGGATGCTGCAACTCCCGCTTTGAAATAGGTTCCACTCTCTCACTTCCATGATTCCATCTTCTATTTCTTTTTGCGTTGCTATAAGCAGACAATTTTTCGTCTTCACTTATGGTTTGATCAAAGGAGGGCTCATGTTATTGATAGACGGGGCGAGAAATGGCTTTAGGAACACGGTTCAGGTGGCTGCATTCAGTCAAGACGTGCGGAACCCATGTGTCGATTCTTGAGGTGTTCCTTACTTGGTCAAGCGCTCGTCGGACTGCAGCCAGTTATTTTCTCAGCAGTGTGCTCGATTGTAGTCCATCGAGTAGTGATCACCACACCGCGCATCAAGCAGTTATCAGTGTCAGAACATGGGCCAGGACGTAGGTTACCATTTGGAGTTAAATCGGTATTTTGACATCTACTGAACGGCCTTAAGCTGTCCTAAGGGCAGGAACACGAATCCAAAAATGCTTAGAACTTTTTTTGCAGTTCCAACAGCATCCCCGTTTTTGAACTCAGGTAACTTACCGTGGTGAAGCCGCAACTTTTTATTTTTCACTTTTTCTATCAAAATCCTGAACATTAATTAATTTGAATAAATATTTTACAGACCATACTGATTCACAGTGCATTTAGATAACCAGAGGTTAAAATTATACATGCGAAAGACGCACCAGCACATTTAAAATTGCGCGCTGCTGCCATCTGCGCGAATTGCATGTGAAGCCCAAATTTCAGACCGAAGTGGTAAATAACACTTTCTGTACCACAACAGCTAATTATTACCTTTATTACAGCATGGTGTTTTTATCTTAGCTTTGACAGTCAACGAAGACAAAGGAATCATTGTCTGGTCGAGGCTCAATTAAAAGTCCAGATTCTGTTACAGATGGTTTCTTGTTAAATTTTCGCTGGAATGTGGCTCCACAGATGTGTGTGCCTGCTAGGCAGGTACTGTTGTTCTTGTCGGCAGGCATAGCTTGTGATTAGTTTGTGGTCAAACAGTACGATTACAACAGTTGCACATGTAAAAATTACCAAAATTTTTGTTTTTGAGACTAATAATGGGACGTCCACATTATGTTTCGTGAATTAATCGTACCGTACAAGCTGACCAGAAAGTTGAAATACCATTTTTTTTTCAAATTTACTAAATGTTTTCGTAAATGATTGTTTTATTGGATTTCCAACTCTATAGCACCACATAATATCCATTAAAATCCAACAAATGACAGTGATCAAACTCTTAGACTAGTACTTTTTCGAAAAATTAATTACTAATCATATTTGTTAAAAAATTGCACCTTAAAAATTTTTAAACCATGAAAGAGGTGCAGACACAGGCGTCTGGCTGAAGCTTGTCTAGGTAACCAAAATCGTTTAGCACATTTTACATATTTGATAAAGATTTAAATGATAATTAAAAAAGGTGTAATCAACTGATTGCTAAATTATGACACTGCACAGAGAAAAAAACATTATGCTAGTCATGATTCGAAGAAAAGTGACACCTAATCATTGTGTATAAGGGCTGATATTCCTTGTTTTTTTAAACCAGAGTTTTAATATCACATTCGAAAGCACCTTAATTTCCCATACAAGAAAAATTTTAACCAAAGAAATTTATTCGGGAAAATTAAACCAGTAGGGGAAGATATGAAGTGATTTCAAAGATAATGAGACCGATAAAGATGCGCAGTATTGTAACTTCCTACTCGCGTATAAGTTGTTGATGCCACTGCTTGTGCAATGTAAGAATGGAATCAATGTGTGGTGTCAGTTGAAGTGAAGTGAATGCGTAAAAATAGAAGGCGGTCAGCGATGGGAGCGTTCGCTGTTTGCTGATGAGGACTTGGACATACCCTTAACCCGAGTTGCTAGCGCTTAGGAAAGGTCTCTCATTGCATGTGAGGAGAATGGCCCTTTTGCTGCCGGTGATAAGGATGCGGTGTTGATGTAGTGACGTGAATGCTATTCATGGACTGATGTAGGGCATTGGAAGGTCCAACACTAGGGTGTTTGGTATCAAGTGGTGACGCCTTAGAATGATTTCGTCTTTGTGTTTGTCTGCGACGCAAATGACGTCGTCTTTTCCGCTTTTCAGGGCTCTGGTTGGAATCATTTTTCCCAGGATAACGATGTCGTGGACGAGAGTATTGCATAGTCTTAGAGGGGGATCCGTAGATCGCAACACTCTGATGGATTGCAGAAGGCTGCATTAAATCCACTTTGCAAAGGGATTCAGGGCGACGAATGATGTCCCGAATGGCGCGTTTAATTTCTGTATTCTGCCAAGAAGGTTGGGATATATGCTGGATCTATGAAAAAACAAGTGCAACAAGATATGGTCAAGGCACTACCACGCTATCTGTGTATATCCACTCTTACTTTATGCGAGACTGTTTAAAAGGATACAGAACGGTCTTCCAAAACGGACCATGTTCCCAACTATAACACAAAAATCCTAATGCAGATGCTCCTGAGGGTCAGTAGGTAAATCAGTAGTATTAATTTACGAGGCATCAAACGTTGTTTTTTTTTAATCTGACTCTTTTAGCCTTCACAGATTAAAGTCCGGTGTGAAATTTAAAATCAAGTTAGTCAAATGGGTTTCTGCGATGTGGCTGTAAAATGACCCCCAGCAAGTAGTGAGTAGTTTTATGCTTGGAAGCCCTCAATAATCCATCAATAAAAAGCACGCCTACCAGTAGAGTTCGCCTGTTGTCGTGTAGTTTGCCCATCAGAAGCCATCGTCCAGGTCCCTTTGGACGTGTCACGGCTGCCCTGACAATGGGACAGTCGCAGGTCATCTGGAAGTCCAAATTCGCCGGTGAGCTGACTGCCTTCGGCAGTTTGAAGACACCCATTCTACCATTGGTTCGGATCCTAAAAGTTGTGTTCCGACTACCTGGGGATGACGCAGGCTTGACATCCAGTACTTTAGCTCGAATTACTAAGAAAAGAAATCCACACTTTTAGCTCGAAAGAGCGCAAAATTAACAATGAAAAGTAATTTCAACGAGAGACAGGAACGATGAAAGTTTTGACCCTATTAGCGATCCTTATGATGACGACTCAGTAGTTGTAAGTAGATCATTTTATCCTAAACAGCGATAGAGACTTGATACTTTTAGTATAAATGGTTGGACACTTGAAATTGGTTCTATCAGATCACTCGGTAAACTACGCCATCCAGAGACATAAAATAAGACAATGTGAAAATATTTTATCGATATCGTGAGTTTTAAAAAGTTGTCTACGCTAGACTTCCTAGAAACACCCCCGAAAATTACCCTACATTCTAACAGCGCAGTACATTTCCCAGACCAAATAAAAAACCACGGAAAAATTAGCTTCCGAGGTTCCGGTTTAATCTTGCTCAGAAATAATGACGTTTGGCCTTTAAGCAAAATCAAAAGTAACACCAAACTGAATGGGATTTGGAAAGGTCTCTCGGTTTACGCACCTTTCTTACTCTGCCCAGGTGAACCATATTTAAACGCGTCAATTTACAATATAAGTTAAGCAGTAATTGCATTTTAAGAGGATGAATTTCATTGTTAGAAGAATTTAACAATGCATTTGTTGTGGTCGTGATATCAGATGTTAGTGGACAACGCTACACTAACGTGCAAGCTTAGGACTCCACACAATGGACAAATAAAGGGCTGGATGACTGACGAATTCGGAGTCATTACTTTCAGTCACCCTCCTTCGCCCTTACAATCACCACCTCTGAGTCTGCCCAGTCGTGAGGTGTACTCGCCTAGCCACTTAGTCATGCAACACGGCACAACAAACCACAATATGGCGCCGTGTACAGAACTATCTCCATGAACTCTGTTCCTAACTAGTAATTTGCCCAACATGCCATTCAAATACCTTTGACAGACTACAAATATAACCTCGGAATATGCACGCCTGTTGTATTTCCACGTGGAAACTACTCACACGTTGAAACTGCTGTTTGATGTGTAAAGTGTATTTTAGCTTGGTTGTCCGTTGATGCAGTTGGATCGGCAGACACACCACTACCAAAGCTCCTAAGATCCATCAGCTTGACCACATTCTTGTTGAATAGAAACTCCGAGTAACTTACCAACATCGGCTATGCAGAAGCTACCGATTGCGCTTTCGTAGGTTGGTTTATCAACGCATCCTGAGCAGCGTGTTTCTGCAAAATATGGAAAATTGATTACAATTGGATACCTGTGTATGCACATAACCACGCATCGCTGGTGCCTTTCATGCAAACAGCATACACGCTAAATTCAAAGCGACGCTTTGAGTAAGGAAGGTATTCAAGGAGAAGACAAAGCAGCAAAGCGTCCACACCGAGACTTAAAGCAACAAGTGACAAGTCCCAATACGCATGAAGACAGTCGTCTACTTACACATACTGCACCTAATTTAAATGCTCGCAATGCCCAGTCCATTCGTCCTTCACTTGCTTGCCAAAGTCAACAAAAGCGACAAAAATCACACTTCTCTGATTCAACCAATGTCGGAGACATTACGAGGCTTCGTGTCTACCTGACATTCAAAGATGTCACCTGTGTTGGCAAGGCGATTTCATCTCAGGCATTTAGTGTGGAGATACAGTCCGGTCAAATTGTGCTTGTTTAAAGGGGATATTTGTTGCTGAGTGAAATTGAAGCGAAAGGATCATGTACTGTTAAAAGATAGAATATCCTCGCTTGATATTTTGTCAACCAAAGTGGTCGTATTCACCGATTCTCTTAAACCAAAATATTCCACTCTCACAAATGCCTCAACTTGCACGCGACGCAAGGTTTGCTATGTTCTGAGACCTCACCTACGCTACAGAAGATGGCATGCAGCAAGTGAAGTCTCACCATCTAAAGCAGATGTTGACCACCAGTGGAAACCATGTGAGCGGGGTGGATGCAGTCCTGTCCCAGTGCCCACACTGATGGACCTTCAGTAGGCAGTCTGCATCACATGAAGCCATGAGCTGTCAAGACCTTAATCAGGAATAGCAAACGGCACATCCTGCAATCTATTGTACGGTCAGGATAAATCCTCAGCCAGGTAGAGGTGACTTCAAATCAATCGCGTCTCTGCTGCTCAGAGCTGTCGAAGCACTGTTGCGATCGCTTTCTCTTGGCATTATAGGGCAAACTTATCACTCTAGTCTACAAGATGTTCCTAAAATAAACGACCACTGATCTCTAGTGATTCATTCGCTTTCGTGATATTCATGTCCGGTGCTACTGAATCTCTCGCATATTTCTGAAACATTTTCCAGTGATTTTGTAAGGTTCTTTTCCTCATCTTAGAGCTGTGGTCGTGTTAGGGAGGAGTCAGTATCATTTTATTTGACCCGAATTTTCTTGAGCTAACTTAGTACAGTTCAAGTAAATTTATACTGCCTATAAAAGCTAATTTGACGCATCAAGTGATAACAACCACTCCATTGTGCAACGGAACCGTTTATTTCTTTGTGCGATACATCATGATTTCCGTAGGGACCAATGTTATTTGCGAGGATACATAAATAACGGTAGTATACTACAACGGACACGTGTATTGAATACATCTGAGAAGAACAAATTGTCGAATCATAATTAAGTGACTGATTTACTACTAGTAGACCTGGCAGGTGTTGATAAATTTCTAGCATTTTAGACTAAAGTAATCAGATCTATGCTGTTGGAATAGTGACTGGCAACCTTTTAAATAAGGTTTCATGGGACGTGTGCTTGGAAGCATTCTGTTGGTACTCTTCAAGACATCTATTAAATAACTTAACTATCGTGATTTAAAATTCCAACAGGAGAAAGTTTTTCCATGGATCTACCTTGGGTCAAAGTTATTTTTTCATGGGCTTTTAGCAATTCAAAAATTATGTAATTATTAAAATCGCGGGCTAGTTTTAAACTGGGCGAAGATGAAGCTAGTTCATTCTATGTAAAGCCAATGGGAAAACTTCCCACGTGAGTCAGACTGCAGGTAATGATTGACATGGAGGAACAGCCGTCCCGTCATCGACACATGTCCTTGCATGGCCTCCGTTATAGGCAGCCGTCAGACTATGGTGATGGAAAGATACGTACGAGGTGACTGAACTATACGAGGGTAAATAAAAAGGGTTGCCCGTCACACTAATTCGTCTAAAACTCCGAACCGCTTTTGTTGATATGCTACATCCAAATTGGAACTTTGACCTTAGTGATTTTCCTTTGTATGGTCTGCGACTAGGCGAAAATCTATTTGCAATCAGATTCACAAAAGCAGTTTTAGGTGAACAGGAAAAACTGGAATGGAAGTGTTGCATAACTTCCCGAAATAGAGCAAAATTGACGTAAAAATAAAAAAAAGAGTACGAGAACTTTACTATGATGAGAGGCTCCTGTTGGTTTAGTTACTTTTACTAGAGTGTACCCTCGTTACTGCTTCCTTAAAATCAGCCGATCGACAGTAATGAATTTTATTTCCTTCTGAAAAAAAGGGGTGGCTACAAATTCCCTAATCAAACCACCTGGTTTCTAATGTCCTTAACTAATTTTTTTCTATTTAAAAATCACTGTTCAGGCTGCCTTATACTTCCTGAGTTCTGACGAGACGTCTATACTTTTCTCAACTTTTCAGTTCCCTACCAGCTTCCTGGCTGGCCGGTCGGTGCGGAGGGCTCATGGGACTCACCATACCCAAGGTCTAAATCAATTCTGAGCCGAGGAATACGCAAACATTTTTTCTCATTGTTAATACCCTTACTAAGACGCCTACCTTTTCCTAGGTTTTGAGCATGTAATAAAGTTATTAGTTAAATCATTGGTTTTTCTAACCGATGAAATTCAAATATTAGTTTAAAGTATTCGAACAGATCAAATTTCGATAGCATCTGAAGTCTATATCTTCCCAAGAAATTGTCATGGACTTGCCGGTGTCAAATAAAGCTCTTCAAAAATCGCTTTTCACTGAAAGCAATATTAAAAAAAACCGCGATAAATTAGGGAGGAATTGAAACGTGGGACGAATGCCGTGGTTGCTCTGGCTCTCCAGGTTACTTGTGACCCTGCCCCCAGCATGACTTGGTTTGTCAGGGTTAAACGATTAGTATGTGCATGTGCGGGTGGAGGCGTGTCACCCGTACAAAATCACATTGACTGGTGTTTCGGTGACGTTCCAATCTCACACGTTTTATTTTCTCATACATTGTAAAACCAAGAAAAGGATGTTTTTTGACTACTTACCAGCAAACCAGAAGCATTTTTGAGTAGTTTTGGCATTTGTCTAATATCATTTGGCTTTTTAATGAAATTCATAACTAAAAGACGGTTGTGAAGACCATCTACGGACAATGCAGTCTGCATACTGCAAAGCAGTTTACTGACTATTTCTAAGGTAGCTGTCTATGCAGCAACAAATATTTACACATGGCCGCAAGTTAAAGATAGAAAGCGTAGCGGTGAGTTGCAAGATCGGGTGTTCATCATCTAAAATGGTTTTTACACAGCCGCGCTAATATGATAAAGTGCTGCCGACAATGGGGCATGGCTCCGCAACCATCCCACGGATTTGACAAAAATCAGCAACTGTGTAGGATCACAGAACCCTGGCGGCACAACACATTGTCTTCGGTTATAGGTTTGGCGGGTGCCTGCCATCAAAGCACCCACCTGAGATCCACTAATTTTGCGTTCACTTAAAATCACAAACAGCATTTCTTCCCATGTAATACACATTCTGACGTCTCGGATTGCGGACGGTTGTAGGTAAATTAAAATATCTCGTGTCTTATGCATTTGGTGAAAGAAAGTTATTCGGCGGCAGATTCATTTTTTGGCGTTGTGCCGTCCGAATCTCTCCAAACTAGCCAAATATACGACCGTGAGTACAACTTGGAAGGAGGAAAATGCTTGGCAGAAAAACTGACAATGTCTGCCCCAGTTATGAGCTTTAGGCTCCACGTCATATTTTATTCTAATCCCTGTAGTAAAATGCTTCAGAACAGCTGTTAAACTCCTCATCTTTAACTTACGCTTTCGTGGCGACATTCAGAAATGCTTAGGAACACACAGAAAACCTTTTTCCAGGCTGAATATTTCAGACTTAACTGAATGCTCTTTTGCACCAAGGGATAGGCAGCGGACTGACGTTGCAAAAATGAAATGGTGCTGTTTCTTAGCACAGGACGATTGTTAAATGGCTTTGTAATCTGGTTAAGGTATGCTTAAATCCTAATTTAGTGCATTGCAATTGAAACAGTTTTAGTATGAGGTCACTAAGCAACTAAAAGTTTAGTTTCTCAAAACAAATAGGCATTATTTTGGCAAAATGGAAGCAGGCAGTTAGAGCATGGACTCGTGTCATGAATATTTGTTTGATTCCTACCGGGATTAAAACACTTGTATTATATATAGAGAGAGGAAACGTCGTTAGATTATGATCCAATGTGAAACCCAAGGGTTCGCGTCAGACAGGCCTGTACGCGAAACTGCCTTTTTGCAAATAAGGCGATGAGGAAAACTTGCGACCAAATGCCTTTAGTTCAGCAGCGGTTGAACGAAGCAAACGCGTTCGGGCATAGCAGTGGGAAAAAGCCCCATTACACGAACTGTTGGCCAAGCAAGAAGTTGAACCAGAAAAAAAACACATTTTGTCGATCCAAATAAGACAAACCACTACAAGGACATGCGTACATGAACAAGGCTTCAGGCAAAGCATTTCGGATCGTCTCTCAATCACCTGGCTTCAAAACAATTGTTTTGTCTGCATTAAGAAAAGATGCAACAATTATTTAAGTTCCTGTCACTGCTCGATCAACGACAATGCAACCCAACTCACTACGTTTGATTTGGTGTACTATTTAAGTTGATTTAATAAAGCTAAAGCTGCCTCCTCGTAATAAAAAAAAGTGTTCGTGGAGGTAAAACACCTCTCCTTGAACAGATTTGGTGTAGAGTTTTACGGCAGCCGTCGCTTTAAATAGTCAAATAACAATGAGGAGAAAATTAGTTCAGGATAGTATGAGCTACTCTGACATTATTTAAATCATGTGCAATAACTTTATAATTGTATTGAATTAAAAACGTCAGGGATTATATTTTCGTAATATTGTACACTCGCATTGCATCAAGTCGTTTTATTTAACTAGATACTCTGTAAATTATCATAACGAATATTAAAAAGCCATTGACAAAATACTAAACTTACAAAGGCATTGTATTTAACAAAATATTTTAACAGAAATCGATAATTTAAGGAAACAAAAGCCAACATTTCCTAATCCCGCGTGTCATCTAAATTAACAGTGGCCATAAATTAAGTCATCTTTACCTAAGTAAATAATGCATTTAGGTCACCTTACAGCATTATTTATTCTTGCAAAAAATTCACGTAGTCTGCTGCTGGCATTAGGATCGACAATCAAGATCGTATTCTTTGAACTTGTTATCTACAATTAATTGGGTCTGTGTCTGTTTGGTTTCACCATTCCCAGTGGTCAGGCTCCCATACATTTACATCACTCCCAAATAAATACGAAACGACTGATGCCCACAACACTTAATCAACGCAACTTTAATTGCGTGATCTTTGATCACGCAGCATTTGGCAAACACCTATATAAGTAGACTAGCAGACGTCAGTTTGATTACAAAATGCATACTGAAACCCAGAGAAATTTCCCTTAGACATCCAGTTTACTTTTACTTGTCGGGTCTTAAAATCGTTGCTTCACGCCTACGGATTTGTATACAAAGTTCCCAATATCTAATTCCTGGGGTACAATATTTAGAGTGTAGTGGTACATTTTAAATGGAACAAACGAAACTGAGTCGAAAAACGACCTGAAACGGAACAGGTACCCCATTGGCTTAGTTGTCTACACCACACGCACGTACTGTCAAGTGTGATCGACTTGGATTAAAACGATAAAAATGCCCGAATTAGAAGTGTGCATTCATGAGTTCACGCTACAAATTAATTGGCACAGGATTCAGAACGCCAAATATGAGCATTAATGGGAAGGTAGAACCAGTTTACTGACAGTACGGTCGAAAACAGTCTGGCTAACAGTTAAAAAATTGCCAAGTAGGGCAATAAGAGATAGTGGCTTCTATCCTTTTGGCGACTTATGATTGCTGAAATGATTGGCATAAGATTGACAGTAATTACTCTAACAGATAATTTTTAAAAAAACAGGATTTCGAAAAAAGCTTATTTGAGCATTAAATCGGATAGAATTATTAAAAAAAACATTCGGCTATTTAGGCATAGAAGTTAATCAGCATTAAATCATTTCTAAAGGCTTACTTATCTTTTTACGTGTTCTTTTAGTGGATGATGGGATGGCACGCTGATGGTCTTATTTGGGAAGTAAGTAAAACCGATTAAGGTCAAAAGCATGCCCTTACTTTTTGGCTTGTTAGGTGGGATGCATAGCTCCTGAGGAGATTGTGGGAACTTGGAGCACTTGACAATGTCCGGCCATCCCAGACCGAAAGTGGTCATCGTGGGTAGGCACGCGGCTCTCACACTCTCACACAGCTCCCGGCAGGGTTGAATGAGTTTCTCATGATACCCCCTTATACAGACAGGTGCGTACAGCGAACACAAAAACCGCTCCAATTCGTCATGACAACCTAGCTTAACTAACGTCATCCACACTTCCGATTGGGTAATCACCTCATCCATGGTCTCGTGCTCAAGACTATTCGGCAGTACCATGAGGTCGTAGCCGATGTTGTTGCATAGCTTCATTTCCCTTGGGATCTTGTAGCACCGTTGAGATCCGTAGCCACTCACTAGACGGTTCCAGTCAGAAAAATAGGGTGACTGAGGTGGTTCATTTGATATCATGTCAGCGTCGGCTGTAGTGAGGCGGCCAAGTGAGGAGCCTCCGAATGGCGAACTTGTCACGGCTGCTTTATTTCTTACACCACTCCTATGCCAGTCCCACCGGCCCGGTGTGTTCGCCTGGGCGGTCGCTACCATGAGGAGGGTCAGAAGGAGAGGCATCCTGTCTTGTGGGGATGTAGCCGCGATTCTCCGCATCATTTAAAGCAAGAGGGGATGCGCACGTATCGCTTCTCGCACTCTTCTTTCTCGTCTCTGATTGGCTGAGAAATATGCGCGTGCGCACGTACAGAATGCAATCGCATCAAATGGCTGACGGTTAGTGTGAATGTCTGCAGCTATGATTGATTGGAAATTATTGTATCAGCCGTCTACTTATTTTTGTCTTTTGTGTGTGTATTGATATCTGGTACAACCGTCCCGTTTATACAATATCGTGGTTAACTTCTTTTAACGCTTTATGAGAAATGCCAATTCTCCACATTTAGACTAGAAATACCACACAAAAATTTTAAAATACATATAAAGGATGAAACGCGGATAATGCCTTGCAAAGCACTCCTTTTAGTCTATTCCAGCCCAACGAATAGCCAATTAATTTCATTTTGTGCATTAAATATTGGAAAGATATCATGAACTGTACAAGCTGGTTAGATGTGTATCGAAAGACACAGGCTTCGTGGTTTGACTCCTACTAAACGCAAAGAATTTAGCTCTAATGATTATTCACTAAAGCTATTACAAGTCGAACCTGTTAATAAAAGCTCCATGAATTTAAGCACGTCAAGCCTGTAAGCACCCGAAAGTAAAGAACATCAACACCAGGACGTTCTGTCAGTCGGTACGCGCACATTCCTTCTGTAAATATTTGTATGAAAGCTTGATGGCATTTGAAATCTAACAGTGTATTTAAAGGTAAACTTTTAGGAGTTGCAAAGTATCACACTTTAAATTGGAGAAAGTAAGATTTCTGAAGCAACCACTTATTCAAAGCTCGGTTATTTACATGATTAACGAAAAAATATTTGTGGGCCCCAGCACGTGGTCTTGAACCACACCGGGGCCACGGATTTAACCCTGGTCCGATTACGTTTGCCTGATGCCCGCGGTGAAGAAAAAGGTCGGAGAGGAAGTGGACACAACCGTTTGCTTCAGAGCTCAACTTCGTTGGTGTCGTTGTGTTGTGTGTGGGGTTTGCGCGTGGGTATTTATATCTCGGGTGTGTGAGTCATACATGCACTAACATAAAGACCTAGGTGTGAGGATAATCCAAGATAAATATCCGTGTGAATGGGGGGAGCTGAGGATCTGCGCGGCTGGCGACATGCTGCGAAAAGAGGAACCCTGTGTCGGAGGTGGAGAGACCGGATTAAGGGGTCGGGGTAAACACGAGTCACAACAATATTTTAGAAATGTTACGGATTAATTACCACTACAATGAAATAAACATGATGAGGCGTTAAGCCATACCAAGATTCAAGGACAATGGAACAGGATAGGATCAGGTTGTGTGGAATGTCGTCATTGCAAGTGCTATTGGAGTTTTGGAAAGCTCATTGAATTCGTTAATAGTTTTTAAGGGAATCAAATTAATAATCTCAATGATTAAGAAGTCCTGGAGCTGACATAGTTGATGTCTACCAAGCAATTAACTCTGTGTACAAGAATATTTATGTGCCTGGATTTATTTATGGGATCGTTTGGTAAGTTAACTAAAGGTTGTTCCGTGTATGACTTTACTGAAGCATAGCGTGAAGTAGTCTGTCAGAAAACTTTAAAAATTATGCCAAAATGTGGCCAAGAATTTATGAAGTTGAGGTAGACTCTACTCCTAGACTCTTAAATTAAAATGATATGCCGGCGGTAAATGCATGAATTAGAAAAAAAACATTGTAATCTACGAATTTTGTAAAGGATTGTTAAAAAGTGCACTAGGCCTCCTCCCAACCACGAATTGTCACTTTTTAAACGCCGATTTCCAAGTTCTATAAAGGGCATCAGTAGAGGATTTTGCCTAACTGATTGTGAGTGGAGTTCCACTTTCTTTGGATTTTTTAAGCAAATTTACACAAACCCAGGGACAACGTAGAGTAATTCAGGCAAAAAGCAACAGAAGTAATTAATTCGGACTAAATTTGTTCTGAGTGTAACCTTCATTAGGACATTTGTAAAAAAATGGTTCGGCTTATAAAAAGAAGCTCTACACTTCGTGTAAAAGTAGGTAAAATGTGCAAATAAATCCCGTGTATGGTTCTTCAAATGAACCCACACAATCTAGCTTTTGCTTTATTTAAAATATATACCTTAAACGCCCTACTGATCAAGCTACGTTTTACATTTAAAGTTAGTGAAAGAAGTTCACTTTTGTCTTCTGTTTTAAGAGAAATCAATAGACATACTGTCGTTTAAGTCACCATTAAACCGATTCATTTTGTTGGATGCATTTATTAAAAGGGCATTGATGTGTTTATTTGATGGTCACATCTGGGTTCAGCCATATGTTAGGTCTAAATAAATTCGACACAAAAATTTTTTCCAGGGAAACGTTTGTTTTGGTGCAATGCTGCTTAAGCCTTTATGTGACCTCCTTATCGAGGTTCATTTAAAGGCCTTGAAGTCATTTACTACCAATGGATAAATGCTTGGAACACAATTCCTAATCGTCGTGCTGCCTTACTAGGTAATGATGCTGGTAAAATAAAGCCAAATGCAAAAGTCGTTACATGAAAAATTAACTAATCGAACAGGACTTTAGATCAGACATTGGAAGGAACATTTCAGCCGCTCTTACTAATTTCCTGTCTACCAGACGGCCGCTGATACTAATGCTGTTTGCAAGCTAGTCGTTTGTATTTGTCTTACATGCTTCCTGGCGAGCAGACCAAACGCACGTGTTTTCTGTTGCTTAACCACAGTTGGACCATTTGACCACTAGCCTGTTTACTCGACCATACAAGCATTTCTGTTTCTAAAGCATAACATATTTAATTGGAAACACGAAAAAAACTTCTGCAAACGTAACAATGTACATAAAATTACGAAATGCTATCAAATCTGTCGTTTCTGTTTGGAAAGAAATTAATATATATTTATACGAAATTTTTGGCCATCTGGGGAACAATGGTCCTTTACAATAACTCGTTATTAAATCTCTCAAAAACTAGCTTGAATTGCTACTTTTGCTGTATGTCAGGGTGTGAACGAAATAGGAAGGCATAAAACCTTCAAGGCTGCTATGGATAACTACAAATAGTTTCAAGAAAATATGCTTTGGCACTCCGAAAAAAGCACTTTTTCGTTTAATTTGTGATGTCGTGAGTGATAATAAGTGCAACTCGGGAGTATCGGATCAAGTTTGTTGGCTCCAGTGTGCATGAACCAAATAAGTCACAATAATTTATGCACTAACCTAACATTCGAGTCTTGTCATTATAAGCAGAGGCTGCCATTTGGCCCTGGGAAACCGGATATCACAGCGCCCAAAACATCATGAAAATTGTTGATCTCCAAATAGGTAACTGCCTTTTGGACATATTTGAATCCATTAAGGAATTCGTAAAGGATTATCAAATTTTACGACTTGTAGGAAAACTACAGACAGGTTTAATTGCGATTTTCCTAAATCAATGGGATCCCGGAGGCAGTTCGAAGAAATAAAGTAAGTGTGCTTGAGTGCAAGAAAATGGCGATACCAAGTGCTCATCCACTTCGGTGAGTGGGATGTGGCAGGCTGATTTTTGAAGCACGAATGTATTCTTGCACACTCAAGTTTGCCTCAAGTAAGTGGTACGCTGGTTATTTCGACTTCGTCTGTCATCCAATTCATTTGGTTCGGGCTACAAAAACATTGCATGTGCTTTATCATCGTGATTACTCACACAGTTTGAGATACAGTGAGTGGTGAATAGATCATTTCTTACAAATATTTAACTCATTTGACGCAGTCAAAGATTAACCCGAGTGATCCAACTACTCTTTTGTTAACCTTTTCTGATATTCATAGATACATAGCAAAGTAAAATTTCCTCCCACCAAGTAGTGTTACATAAATGCGTTTCTGCTTTTAAGGGTTGAACTGGGCCATTTAGGCTTGCTTCTAGGTCCAGCAGTATGCTTTAGTTCTTGGGAATAATTAAACAGGTAAATCACTGAAATGGAAAATTCAATTGGGTTACTTTAAAACAAGAACCACCAATTCTGTTGAGTACACGGGAATTATAAATCTGACCAACATTCACATGCACGAATCCTCTGCAAACTATCTTACTCCGATACTTTTGAGAGTAGACTTTGGAGTTGCGGCCTCCGAATTTCCTAAGTTGTCAAACTTCCGACCATTACACAAATTACTGACTTGTGTTCGTTAACAATCAATTTTCATCCAACAAGCAACAGAGGCCTTTAACCATATGTACCAACAAAAAACAGAGGACAGATGAATCGCTCTATTCTGAGTTTCCTCCACAATCACCACGGATCGAGGAGGTCAGTTTGAATCAAGCCTGTTCCAAAATTTCACACGCCTTTTGGGTACGATCAGCATTCGAACGGCCGCCTACCACCCACAATAAATTGGCATGGCAAAACGTTTTAATCGACAGTTGAAAGCTGCCTTAACAGGGCACAGTGACCAATCTCGTTGGATGGACGCGTTACCCCTCGTACTACTCAGCATGCGATCAGTCGTATGGGAAGATTTGGAGTGTTCCTCTGCAAAAATGGTTTTTGGAACAGTATTTCACCTCGACTTTCCTACCAGCATTGTGGGACCCATGCGACTACTTTGAGCAATTACGGAAGACAATGAACAAACTGAAATCTACACAGCCGCGCTAACAGTCCACTCTTTCATTCACCCCGAAAGAGTTGTCCATTTACACCCACGTGTTCATCAGACGTGATGCCATTCGTCAGCCACTTCAGCCCATCTGCGACGGACCCTTCAGTGTGCTCAGACAAGTAGAAAAGGATTTCACCGTCGACTACAATGGAAAATAAGACGCCGTACCCGTCGGCCACCTCAGGTCATCCTTCCTTGACATGGAGACGCCGTCAAACAACGAGTCCCGGGTGCAGCCAATTGCCGTCTCTTCCGACAGTAAACTGGCGATTACCACTACACGCTCCGGCAGACGCGTTCATTGGTTCGATCGATACACAGCTTGAGGGAAAGAAAACCGCAGGACATAGAGGATACCGTA